AAAAGATTTTCCCCCTCTCCTTGGTGTTTTTTCCCCATGGGGAGCAGCATGTTTCTTTTTGAGCAAAGCCAAATGACCAAGGCACCCCCACCCCCTTCAATGGACAGGGCCAAATTTAGAGTTGGGGTTGCTCATTTAAGCTTTGTATATAATTGAGCCTGGCACAAAGGGTTATCATTAGGAGGAATGGCATGAAATGAAGGAATGGAAAAGCTCAGACCCAAATTAGAAAAGATGTCCTGAGGGAGAGACACAGTGGCAAGGCTGGGAGCTCTGGTCTCAGAGGAATTCTTAGGAGAAAGGACTGGGCATTAAAAGTGCCTGGATGGGATAATTAGGGAACTGAATATGGCCCTGCCATCTCTTGGGATTATTTGCTTCTAAGTGCAAGGGGGTGGTGGTAAGAGGTGGCAACAGACACCAGAGGCATCAGTTGTTAAGAGCCAGCATCTGCTCTCAGGGCACCATGGAACACCGAGAGAAACAGGATTATCCTCTTACCAGATGTTTACCAAGTGTGTTCAGGGTTAGGCAGTGTTACTTTATTCCCCAAGCAAATGGAAGATGCTAGAGGACTCAGCCAGTTCCGCTGCCCTGCCACAGACTTCCTGAACATCCTTGTGAGAAACCTTGCTGCCTGTTGTTTTGGGGAACGGAGCCATCACCTCCCTCCTCTCCAGATGGGGCGTCCCCCTGCTTGGTTGCTTAGTGTGGGTTGGGGACTTGGCAAAGGGACACCATGGACAAACCAAGGAGGCTTTTTCTCTGAGGTGCCTGTCCCGGCTGGCACATCTGTAACTCTTAGCTCCTCCCGGAGGTCCTGGAGCTTGATGGTGTGAACAGGGCCCAAGTGAACCCCATGTGGCTGGGCGCAGCTTGCCTGTTCACCCTGCAGGATCACTCCTCCTACCTGCCTGTCCTGGCCGTCCCCCTGCCCTCCTGTTGACTCACATGGGAGCTGGCAGCAGGGGGCTGCGGTCATTCCCTCTGCTCCTCGCCAGACTGTCTCTGCTCCCCACATTCCTGGTGGTGTCCTGGCTCCATGTGACCCCGGCTTCTAATATTCTTGGGTTCGTTCAGACTATACAGCTGGTCCAACTCTGAGCTTCCTGGCCTTGTTAAAGCCAAAATGCCGTCTTTTACTACCCCGCTCTTTCCATCAAGTTCTTCAAGCAGCCCGAGTTTTACAAGCAAGATGACTCTTTTGGTGAGCTCTTCCTCTGGGGGCAGGGAACCTGGGTTTCAGTAGGGCCTGGACTGGGCTATATCATTGTTATTTTTTTTTAATGGTAGTTTTACAAAATAAGGTTCAAAGGTGAGTGACCTTCCAGGAGGAAGGATTAAGTGAGTTGACTTGGGAGCTGTTCAACCCTGGAGGCATTGCTAAGGAACATAATCTATTTTGCATTTCGTTTTGTGAGCCAAAGTCAGTTATGGCATAGGAATAGCTTTCTCATGCTGTCTCTCTCTTTCACCATTCTACAAAAATATTCATGCCAAAGAATATGCAGGTTGTATAAACATCCCTTCAAAAAGCACATAAAGATATTATATATAGTCACATATGTCTCCTTCCAAATGGGTGTGTTCCTAGAGATGCATAGAGATATCTTTCACACCGTATATGTAAAAAACAGCCAATTTAGGAATTGGCAGAGCAGCCTTGCCTAAGTGAGTCGAAAACTTTGGCTCAGGGCTCTCCAAACAATCCCATAAAACCCGTGCTTGCTTTTATTGAATGGTGATGCATGAAAGACCAAGGGTGGCCAACTTGAATGAGGGCAGGAGCCAACGTTCACAGGATTGTCATAAAGGGTGGCAGAAAAGTTTCTTTTTATTGAAATTCAATCTATTCCTAGAAAAAAATGTCTTCTAATACTGGTTGGCTGGATGTCATTCTTATGTTCCCTTCTGCTGTAACATCATTTGAACTCATCAATGTTCAAGATATTACTTTTACATTTGGTCTTCTTGCCTCCAGCCTCACCCCATCCATTTCAGCCTCCACTCCACTGGCTGCCAAAGTAATCTTTTTAAAAGGCAAATCAAATCTATTACTTTCCTACTTAAAACCCTTTGGTGGCTCCCCATTGCCTGCTAAAGTTTAAATTCCTTAGCTTAGTAGACAAACTCCCTCAACCTTCTGTCCTTGTTCCCCTTTAAGCCATTCCATGAAGTCCCCCAGCCCCATGCACACTCCACTCCAGCCATTTCAGACAGCCTTTGAGGCCACAGTCTTCCAAGCCTCATGCATCTGCACATGCAATTTCCTCCCCAGGCACATGCCCTGGCCATATGAGTGGAACAGTGATAGCATCTGTGGTCAGAGCAAGGGGGACAGGAGGATGATGTGGTAGAGTCAGGGGTGGCACTTTTAAGTAGGGTGGCCAGAGAAGCACACTTGAGAAGGTGACTTTGAGTGAAGGCTGAAGGAGATGAGGGAGATAGCATGCAGATATCTGAGGGAGGAGCATTTCAGGCAGCAAGAACAGCAAGTGGAAAGGCACTGAGGTGGGAATGTGCCTGGTGCCTTCAAGGGATAGTTGGAGCAGGGTGAGCAAAGAAGGGATGAGGTGTCTGGAAGCCTGGGTAAGGACCATGGAGCTCTTGACCCAAACGCTGGCCAGTGTTGCCAGTGGGAATGAGTGACCTGAGCCAGCAGCTTGACTGTGAAATTCTTGGAGGTTGCAACACTTTGTTTATAATGCAGATGAGTGTAAGAGTGGTTCTGAAAGTGTCAGGCTCTAGACTTTACTTTCTCCCAACCTGCATCCACACAGTCTCAACAAAGCCATTTTAGTAGAATTTGACACCCTGATGACTAAAAAAATCAGACATCTTTGAGGAGGCATTAATGTTTAGTTAGTGTTCAGGACTGGGGAAGTAATCCTCACCCTCAGGGGCCTCCTGGGGTGCTTAACCCATACCTAATCTATCATGTTCTCAATATCAATTTGTTTTATCAGCTCTTCCCATTCCCATTGTATAAACATTTATGGTAATGCCATATATAGATCTTTCAAGTGCTTGGACAAAATTATGAATTAAGGTGTCATACTTCTCCTCCACCTTTTTATTGTGGTAAAGTATACACAACATGAAATTTACTATTTTAACCATTTTTAAGTACTATTGGGCAAGTATCACCAGAACTTCATCCTCCCCAACAGAAACTCTGTATCCTTCAAGCACTAATCCCTCATTTTACTTTCTGTCTTTATGAATTTGATCACTCCAGGAACTTTATACAAAAGAAATCATACAATATTTTGTGTGCTAACTTTTGTGACTGGCTTATTTCACTTGGCAGAGGTCTCCAAGTTTATCCATATTGTAGCATATATCAAAAAGTCCTTCCTTTTTAAAGCTGAACAATATTCCGTTGTATGTTGGTGACACATTTTGTTTATTCTTTCATTCATGGATGGACACTAGGGTTGTTTCCACGCTTTGACTCTGCTGAATAATATCGCTATGAACGTGGGTGTACAGGTGTCTGGTCTCACTTCTGTCTCTTCCCTTCTTTTAAGGTAGTCTTTGAGCAGAAGCACCTCTTGGCTGCTTGAATCCATCTGGATGGCTGCCCTTCTCACTTTTCCTGACTTGGCTTTGTTAACTCAATTGATGATGAAGGCTGTTTCTGATGAGCTCAACCCTCAGCCTCCAGAAAATTAGGCTCTGAATGATATATACAGAAATAAATGTGTGATGACTTTCCTAATGTCACTCTTTGGGAAATCACTAGCACTGCTGGAAGCAGAGACTAGGGATTTCCCCAGGGCTGGGCCTTCTCATTCTCAGATGGTGGCCCCTCAGGGGTCGAGGCCACAGAAGATGGCCAGTATTCTGCCTGAGGGAGTCAGTGGGGACATCCCAGCCAGGACTCCTGGACATCTCTTCGGAGGTCCTGGCCCGCTGGCTGCAGCAGAGCCTGGATGAAGCCAAGGTCATGCTTTCAGCCACCCTTGGGCCAACCCACTCCACTCAGTGGCTATAGACTGCATTGCTACTCTCAGGCAGCTGACCTAAACAGCACTTGGACTTGAACAAACAAAATTAACATTGCAAAAGAAATTTATATTTAAAAAATCGCATGCTTTCAAAATAGAGGATGCCCAAATATGAGAGAGAATGGAATGAACTGAACAAACATGGGTGTTGGAATCAGCCACATACAGATCAAGACATGGGTCTTATCAGCCATGGGGTTTGTGCAAGCCATCTAAATTCTGCGAGCTTCAGCTTCCCCATTTACAAATGGATATAGGGTCATTAAATGAAAAAAAGAAAAAAAAAAAAAACCCCTGAAACTTGCTTTTATTGAGCAACACTTGTTGCATATTGGAATCACCTGGAGAGCTTTTAATACCTAGGATGCCTGGGTATGACTCGTAGAGATGCTGATTTAATTGGTCGGGGGCACCGATAGTGTTTATAAAACTCCCCAGGTGATTTTAATGTGCAGTCAAGGTGGCATATAACTGGCCTAGAGTGTAGAAGACCCTCCTCAAATGCTAGCTCTCCTGAGTCCTCCTCCCATGCCTGCAAAAACTCTGGAAAGCACATGCCCTCCCTCACATGGAATAGCCTTGGCATCAGCTGCCTTAGTTCATATCACAGCTCTGTGCCAGTGACCAGGGTTCCTAACATAGCCAAGCTTCAGTTTCCTCAATGGTAAGATGGGATTGATGACAGAAACCACTTGTAGTTTTCTGTGAAGATGAGAAGAGATAACACATGACTTGGAGTTCGAGAGTACTCAATCAATGTCAGCTCTTACTGTGAGCATGATCAGCGTCAAGTCAAGAATCCCACCATTTCCACTGCAGCCAGTGCTTCTCACCCCCTCCCTCCCCAAACCCCAAAGCAGAGAAACCAACCCTCCTGTTCCCTGCAGAGGGCTGGTCAGTTCCAGCTCTCCTGCTGAGCCACGTTCCTAGGAGATGCCTGGTGAGAACTTGGGATCAGATTGAGTCAGAGGTATTTGTAGACTTGACTCACCAGGTCTTAAAACCAGAAGATTGCCCTGTGGGTCTCATGACGTTCCTGGAAAATAAAAGAAGTGAATATTATTGGGCTGAGTTCATCAGACACTCAGCCCTCCCTTTTGTATGCCGGTGGTTCTGAAGACAGCAGGCAGCAACTCAGCCAAGTCTGAACCATCAAAGGCAATGGCCTGGTTGCAGTGCTGGGAGATGTTGCTTCTCCTGCAGACAGGTCTGTTCCTCTTTCCATTCCTCTTCTCCTCCAGTGCCCCAAGGCTATAGACTTTCTCCTCCCTCCAGGTTCCTGGGAAAATGTTTCTGAGAGCTGCCTCTGGTGAGGTGTGTCAGAACTGAGCTATTTTCGAGGGCTGGGTGTGAGCTGGGAAGGGGCCACCCAGATTCTAGAGAATAAGAAAGGGGAAGTTCCCCTTCTGGAGCCAGGATTTCTGGAACTTTGCACTGAAGCAGCAGCCAGGTAGGGGACTCATTTCTCTGAGACCTTCTTTCCCCACACCCCGCCACATCCCTAACAATAGTAAGTCCTGTTAATGTCCCAACTATCTCTAGAATCTACTTTTCTGCATCTCCAGAGCCACAACCCTAGCAAAAGCCACTGTCATTTTATAATTTCTCCCCTGCAACTGCAACCTCCTGTTTCTACTGTTTCTATTCTGTCTACCCCTGTCCTCCCAACCTGCCACCAGCAGACAAGTAAATTTTTCAAAATATAAAACTGATCATGACACATACACGCATATGCACATTTAAGCTTAATACCTTTTCAAAGCTTCACATTGCTCTTGGGATAAAGGCAAAACTTCTAACAAGTTTGACAAGGTCACATACATCAAGATTTGGTTTGGCTATGAGTGACAGAAAACCCAAGTTAATAAAGGTTTGAATAGACAAGATTTTCTTTTCTATGTGAAGAGTCTGCAGTTCAACCAGCGAGGATTGGCACAGCAACTCCTTTAAGTGATGGGGTACTCAGACCACTTGAGTTATCTGCTCTGTCATCCTTAATATGCAGTTTTCACTTCACATTCCAAGAGGGCTGCTTGAGTTCCAGCCATTGCAACCAAATCTCAGATCACAGGAAGGAGGAATTGCACACAGTACTTCTACTTGCATCCTTCTGTGCAGAATTTAGTCACATGGCTACAGGTAGCTGAAAGAGAGGCTGGAAAATGTAATTTTTTTTCCAAGTGGTCATAGCCCAGCAGAAAAGGAGGAGGAAGGGGAGAATCAATATTGAGTGATAACTGACAGTGTAAATCATATAGTACTCCTCTCCTGAGCATCATTATGCCGCATGCCTTCTTCCTTTGGCTCTCTGCACTCCTGTCACACTGGCTTTCTCCAGATGTCCCACACATTTGCAATACTCCCTCCTGCCATAGGCCTTTGCTCATGCTTCAGTGTTCTCTCCTCCCTCCTACTTAATTACTAATCCTTCAGAACTCCATTCAAGCAGAATTCCCTGGAAGAACCTTCCAGAGGTCAGACCCTCCTACTTAGAAGGGATTTTTTATCCTCCTCTTCTATGTTTAGCTTATAACATGTAGATTCTGTCACTGTTGCAATCACACATTTGTTTTGTATGATTATTTTCTGCCCTCATGATGAAGACAGAGTGTAGGCTTGGTTTTGTGCATTGTGGAGCATCCTGCCTGGCACACAGTTTGTGCTCAATAAGTATTTCTTGAATGAATCAATGAATAAATTTAGATATTACCTAAAATGTATTAAAGGGGGGCCAAGAATTAGGCAAAGGATTTTCCTGGGGCAAGTCATAGGGAGTGGCTGAGAGGGGTTGGGAGATGCATTCTAAATAGTCCGTCCAAATCTAGAAGGCTTTAGGTGTGGCAGAGAAAGTGTTGACCTGGAACTCCGAAGACCTGTTTTCTGATCTCAGCTCAGCCATCAACAGCTGCGCCACTGCCTAGAGACAGAAATGGTCAGATGTTGGGTATATTTTGAAGGTAGAGTTGACAACAATTGCTGGCAGATTGAATGTGGGAACTGAGGGAAAGAGAAGGGTCAAAGATTAGTCCTGGGTGTTTGGCTGAACACACGGAAGGCCATTTACGGAGAAGGGGAAGCCAGTGGAAGGAATAGCTTTTAAGGAGAGGGTCTGAAGGTCTTATTTACAAATGAACCACATGTTCCCATAGCCAGGTGCACACTTCAACTCTTCCACAGAGGAAGCCTAAGCCCCAGGCTGGTGGGTGTCAGTGGTGAATACCAAATGGATGTAAAAAAGGTTACCTGAACCCCACTCCACCCCGCCCCCCAGAAAACCCCCAGACAACTGGCCTTTCAAGGTGCATAGTTACCAGTCAAGTTATTCAGCTCAACTCAGCAACAAGATTGAAGAGAAAGTGGTCAGAAGACCTTGATACCAGGTTTGGTAGGAAGCAGTCGCTTTGGGCTCAAAGGTCAGTGATGAGGGAAGGCATGTCCATGCATGGTCACTGCAGAAATCTTTGAAAATTCAGAAAATTACAACCCCAGTACATGCCGAACATGCCTAACATCACCATCTATTTTCTCCCAAGCTTTATTATACACACTTTCCTGTAAGCAGTGGCACTCATCTGAATAATGTGATGTGGCAATTTCCCTTTCTCATTAAACAGTATCATGCATGTTTCTAAGTTGCTTTCTAGAGAGGTGTACTGATCTACTCAAGTAGAATCGGTGTATTAGAATGCTTCTCTCCCGGCAATCTTTTTCACAATGAGCGTTAGCAAAAGAATGCTTTGACAATTTTATAAGTGAGAAATAGTAATTCATTATTATTTTAATTTGCAGGTTTTAAAATATTTCTAGAGAGCCTGACCACTGCTCAAATGCTTGTTAGTTACTTTTTATTTTTCAAGTGACTTTTGCAAAGATATTTCTAGGCTTGGAAGAAGCCAGAATAACCACTATTTAGTTAAATCCCACTTCCTTCACCTCAAGAAGTAGTATCTCTCCCCTCAAAAACCAATCATATGTATGAGGGAGATAGGGGTGGCTAAGCAGAGAGAAAGAAGTGCTATGGTGGAAAGTTTGCACTCAGTTGCTGGGTGACAATGGCTCATACCCCAGCCTCTAGTCTGCCTTCTTGCGAATGAGGGTGAAAGTTTTATAAGCAAATCAGTGCTAACTATAGCAGGTGGGTGTCTGCTGTGCAGCTCTTTTGGATTTCCGCCCTAATCTGGTCTGCCTTCTGGGTTTTAATATGCACAGAGAGGCAATCTGACTTGGTAAGGTCTGCACCCCTATGTGCTCTTCATTGACTCTGTGGGAGGACAGAGAGCCCACGGCCTGATCTGCTCCTTCAGGTAGGGACTCTGCCTGGTTTGGTTGTGTCTTAAAATATAGTTTAGCACCTGGCACACAGTAGGTTCTTAGTACATATTTGTTCCATGACTGAATGATCAGGATCCTGAAGGGATAACTAGGAGAGAGGAGACGCTGTTCTCTCTGTTCTCACTTCTGTTCTCACTTCTGTTCTCAGCTGTGTCACCAAGCAGTAAGTCACTTTCTCTTACTGGCCTCTACTTCCGCGTTTTAAGCAATTAATCCAAATGGCAGCAAAGATTCCTTCTAACTCTGAAATTGTGTCAAAACATTTAACCCAACTTTGCTTTAGTTTCCTCATCTATGAAATAGGCAGGATGAAAATGTCAATCTCCTATGAGGGTACCAGATAAAATACAGGATGCACAGTTCAATTTGAATATCAGATAAACAAGAAACACATTTTTTAAAGTGTAAATATGTACCCAATATTGCACAGACTCGATAAATAACTGGAGTGCTGAATGACCAAACAACATGCAGCTGGATCTGTTTATTGCATTTAGAGTCGTGTTTCTAGACTGATGATGATTACATGGTGGTCAGTTGACAAGTATTTATTAAGCATCTACTATATGCCAGGCACTGTTGAGGCCCTGGTGATACAGCGGAGAATGAAATAAGCAATGTCGCTGTTTTCTCTGGGCTTAAATTCTAGCTAACAAAAAATGTACACAAAATGTCATGTAACCATCATGCTCAGAAGGCTAGCAAAGCGGGCTAAGGGCCAGAGACCATGTGGAGGGCTGAGAAAGGCAGTTCTGAGGAACTCAACTCTGCACCTGAGGGCCCCCAACCTCCACACAGACCTGTGTTTGTACAACGAGACTCTGATATTATTTTGTAGAAATCCCCAAAGATGCATAAAAATGTCATTGATTCAAAAAGCTCGTGCACCAAATTTGGGATAAAATGAGCAGTTGCTTGGATGGAAGAGACCTATAAATCATTTAGCCAATTTTAGCTGAGCTAGGGCTGCAACCAAGTTTCCTGACAGCCAGGAGAAAGTTCTGGGAGGTGATGTGGCTTGTGAAAACGGTGATTCTGATTTTCAGTTCTGTTTACCAGTGTGGTTGGGTTAAGTCTTAACAACTTTTTTACATGTTTTAAAGTTTTAGCTGAAACAACAGTGAAGGGTTTCTCTTTGAGACATCTTGACACTCACTAAGCCAGTGTTCTTTGGTTCAAGGTTTTGCTGGGGCCTATTAAGTTAATGGCTGTAGAGGTCACCTTTCTTTCTTTCTTTCTTTTTTCTTTTCTTTTCTTTTTTTCTTTTTTAGATGGAATCTTACTGTGTTTCCCAGGCTGGAGTGCAGTGGCGTGATCTCAGCTCACTGCAAGCTCTGCCTCCTGGCGATTCTCCTGCCTCAGCCTCCGAGTAGCTGGCATTACAGGTGCATGCCACCATGCCCAGCTAATTTTTGTATTTGTAGTAGAAACAGAGTTTCACCATGTTGACCAGGCTAGTCTCAAACTCCTGACCTCATAATCTGCCTGCCTCAGCCTCCTAAAGTGCTGGGATTATAGGCGTGAGCCACCGTGCCCAGCCGAGGTCACCTTTCTTATATCTCAGGTAGCCCGGAGAAAACTCAGCATCATTGCTATCACTACCTTTATGATGGCATTAGGTCTCTAGGTTGCTTCTACCCTAGAATATTCTGTGCACTTCCCTCTATTTCATTTTACACATTAGACTTCTATTTGGTTCCATATAGAGGTTTTTTGTCTGCTACGAGAATTGGATATGTGAAGCTCATTAATATTTCTCAAGTAAAACTAGAGAAAACAGTTTGTGGAGTTTCTCCTTTACCATTTTCAATTCATAGTGGTTGAGTTCTTAGAAGAAGCCATGATTCTTGGTTTATAAAAGAAGATAATCACAGACACCTGGGGAAATGTAGTTTTGGTGGAGGAGAGGCAGTTCTGTGAAAGTCAACAGCAGAAAGTACCCATGAGCTTTTTCTTTCTCTTTTTTTCTTTTGAGACAGGGTCTCACCCTATTGCCCAGGCTGCAGCATAGTCATGTGATCATGGCTCACTGCAGCCTCAGCCTCCCAGGCTCAAGTAATGCTCCCACCTCACTTCCTGAGTAGCTGGGACTACAGGCACATGCCATCATTTTTTTTGTAGAGATGGGGTTTCACCATGTTGCCCAGGCTGGGCTCAAACTCCTGGACTGAAGCAATCTACCAGTATTGGCCTCCCAAAGTGCTGGGATTACAGGCGTGCACCACCATGCCTGGCCCCATGAACTTTTTCCATCAGAGAAGCTCTCAGGCACATTGCTGGCTTCTCCTCAAATGCTGTCACCTGAGGAATAATTGCCTCTCTGATCCTCTCAGACACAATTCCCACACAAACTGGACATCTGGGGCCTGTGAGCTCTGTGAGAACGTTGTTGGACACTGGAGTTGGGAGGGATGAGGGACCAACCTCTCCCCAGATGACTAGGGCTTCTCTGAGTCTGAGCCAGACACCAGATGAAGGAACAGCTCACCCATGACGAGGGTGAGAGCACACATGTTCACAGGCAGTGGGGGATATGTTTACTCACTGACTCTTTCATCAGGTCACCCTCCCCAAGATAATAAGCTGAGGTACTCAAGCAAGTTCTGCCTTTGAAAAGCTTGGAATCCCCAAAGGGCGGGGCACCAGGGTGGGCACCCAAACAGACAATGCAGAAAGCCAAGCGCAGACGATTCTAGCTGGAACCAGGAGAGAAGCCTCCAAACCTGGCTCCAGTAAAACTCAGAACTGTTTCCAGGGTGAGCATGGACCGTCTCCCCAAAGGCGGCGACCAGGGTGGCTGAGATAGCTGAGTTAAGGTAGCTTGCATTCATGTGGCTCCTTTGATCTGAGGTTGGTAAACCTTGTTACCATACCCAGTCACAAAGAGCTGCCACCTGCTTTCTACCTGGAAGGAAGCTCAAGGGATTAGGGGAGAACTAACAAAAGTCGGTCTGTAAAGTGCTTCCAGATTTTTAAGTGCGTCCACTGTGAACTTAGATCAATGCTTCAAGCTGCAGACTTTTGAAGGCAGGATGATCCGTCCTGAAGGGTTCCAGAGGCCATTGGGCCCAACCTTCTTATATAAATGGGAGGATGAAACCAAGTCTCCAAGGAGGGATGGGACTTGCCCGAGGTCCCAGGGCATTTTCCAGCAGAGCAAGAATCAGCACTAAGGTCTCCTGGCTCCCAGCCCTGAACTGTTTCCCCTCCACCCTGAGAGCCTCGCTCTGCTGGGGCGGTGGAGGGTCATCTGTTTAACACAGTTCTGTTTTCGGCCATCTTGGGGAAGGCCCTTCTTTTCATAGTCTTCACGGGCTGTCCTTGGCAAGATTGCCTCCAAATAAGCTGCAGCACGGTCCCCTGCCTGCACCTCCCTCTCTGTCTTCACACCCGTGCCACCTTTGGAGACCCAGTGGAGAGCTAGGTCAGGATGCCTTCTTGGACTCGCTGATCTTCTCCGCCCCTGAGTACCTAGGCTCTATACCACACCCTCTCCACTTTGTTCTCTGGTCATTAACTGCTCATGTAACCCACTTTTCCTTACTGAATTGCAAGCTCTGAGGGGTAAGAAATACATTTCCACCTTCTCATTCATTTCAGTACCTAGCATGGAACTGGGCATAGAGTTGGCGCACAATAAATGCTGATGAGTATGCATGCCTGAATGACTCTTTCTCGTTTTTTCCCTGACAGATTCGGAGCCCAGTACCTTGGACTCCCAGTCTTCGACCACCTTGTTCCTCTCCTCGGAGGAGCCAGGCCCCTCCACCGCTGCCCTGCCGTCTCCCTCCTCCTCTTCCTGCGAGCCCCAGGTCTTTTCCCCAGGCCCGACAGTGCTGCCCCCGCTACTGCCTCCGCTCCCCTCAGCCTCGGCGCCCCCGGGCTCCGGCGCCTCCCGGCGCACAGGCCTCTACTCAGTCGTCGCCTCCTCCCCGGAGACCTCCACGCGTCTGGTCGAGTGGCTTCCTGGCTGCCCCTCAACCACCTCTCCTGGCACACGCGGAGATGACAAGGAGCGGCCGCTGCCCGTCCTGGCACCGGCCGAGGGCCCGGAAAGGAGCCGCGCCCCGCACCCCAGCACAGCGGGCAGCGAGGAGGGCACCGTGGACGCGAGTACATCCCCGCCGCCCCGCGCCCGGCCCGCCGCTGTGGCGAGCTTGGAGGCCCACGTCGGGGACATCCTGGTGGAGCTGCGGACCATGAACGGCCACTTGGACATCATAGCGCGGGCTCTCACCAAACTGGCTTCGTCCCTGGGGCCCCAGCCTGAGCCCCTGCCAGATGCTCCGGATGCCAACTAATGGAGCTCGGCGAGGCTGGGCCGCCACGGGGCCAAGGCATCGCGTGCACCAGGCATCCCTGCCTGTCCTTCCCCAGCAGCGAAGCTGCGCCCGGCGGAGGAGCGGTTGATCTGCGCAGCTGCTTAGGGGAACGCACGGCCCTCGCGCTTCAACGTGAAACAGACCCGGTTGCGCCTCACACCCTCCTCCTCCTCGGCTCTCTCAAGGCGGTCCCTGCCCCGGCTTCCTGGCCCTTCACATGCCCTTCTCTTGTCTTGATCTCCTAGCAGAAAAAGTGCCTGGAGACGGCGGTGGCACCCTGCGAAGTATGCTTAGAGAAACACTCTTTCCCATCCCATTCCTGTGACTTCCGTATGGCGTGGAGGGAGAGGAGCTCAAAGCATGTCACCAAAGCAGCAGCGAGGCCAGCTCCAGCCTTCCTCCCTGGCGGTGTTGGTGGGGCATCCATCTCTGGTGACGTTCACAAGTTTGTTTGTTTTTAAAATCGTTTTTGGAAAAATACTTTTTTTCTCATAACCACATTTCAAGAAGTTTGGAAAATAGAGAAGTGAAACAAAATCTGGTGTATTTGGGGAAAAGGGGGGGGGGTATTTAAGTCTTTCTTATGAGTAAGAAAGTATTTTGTGTAATAAAAAAAATTTTATATCCACTTTCTGGGCGTTGGGCTCTCCCTGCCACGTTTCTTCCTCTGCAGGGCCCCTTTCTCTCTGTGCTTGGTTGCTTGTCCCAGCCCTCCTATAGTCCTTGAGTTTCTGAACTTTTCTCATACTTGTGAAGTATAACCTTCTTTTTAAATTTGATATACTTTATTTTTTGTTAAGAGACAGTCTTACTCTGTCACCCAGGCTGGAGTGCAGAGGCGCAATCTCAGGTCACTGTAGCCTCTAACTCCCAGGCTCAAGTGATCCTCCCACCACAGCCCCCTGAGTAACCGGGACTACAGGCATGAGCCACTGCACCTGACAAGAATAGGCTTTTAATGGTTCTTCTGATTATTTCCATATCTCCCAGATCTCCATAAATTTGATAGACCCACTCCTCTCATTTGGACTGAGTGGAAACCAAGTTCCAGAGTGACTGGGCAATAAATATGGAGGAAACAGCATCCCCAGCCTCTACTCACTGCCAGAATGACCAGCTTCCCCAGCTGAGACAACCAAAAAATGTTTCCAGATATCGCCACTGTCCCCTGGTTGAGATCCACTAACCTATGTAGAATTTCAAAAATTTGGGATGACCCTTCTCGAGAATCTGGCTTTCCATGGTGAGGCGGGGCTCTTCTCTTCCTATTAGAATTTTAATCAAGTGCGCTTCTTTGCTAGAAGCAAACATGCTATGCTGCTCTTTCTTCAGAAACAAACGAAAAGGCCGTGCACGGTGGCTCACGCCTGTAATCCCAGCACTTTGGGAGGCTGAGGCGGGTGGATCACTTGAAGTCAGGAGTTCGAGACCAGCCTGACCAACATGGTGAAACCTTGTCTCTACTAAAAATACAAAATTAGCTGGGCATGGTGGCGCACGCCTGTAATTCTAGCTACTCGGGAGGCTGAAGCAGGAGACTTGCTTGAACTCAGGAGACGGAGGTCGCAGTGAGCTGAGATCACGCCATTGCACTCCAGCCTGGACCACAAGAGCGAAACTCTGTCTCAAAAAAACTCTATCTCAAAAAAAAAAAGAAAAGAAAAGAAACAAACAAACACAGGGTCTGAGACCACATTGCACAAAATAAAACCCTACTTGCGAGCACTTGTAGGGCTCACAGCTGGTGTGCTGAGGCTGGTAGTTTGTGCACCTCCAGTGCCTCACAGACTTTGATAAGCAGAAGCTGCGTGGAGAGCTAGTGAAAATGCAGGTTCTGATTCAGAAGCTCTGGAGTGGGGCCTGAGACTCAGCATTTCTAGACAGCTCCAGGGAGACGCTGATGCTACTGGTCCAAGACACACTGTGAGTAGCAAGAAAGTAATGAGGGGTTGTCTGCTCTGGAATTCCTGCTGATTGGAGTTGCCACTGTTCCCCAGGAACTTCTGCTTGTCTTTGTACCCCACAGCGCCTAGATTCCTCAACTTTAACCAAAGCTTTGGTGGTTTTTTTTTTCAGAGTGTGTTAGCTCTGGCCTCCTACTTCTAAAAATATTTGAGTGAAGTTCAAGCTAATTCAACAAACATTTATTGAGTGCTATAATGCTGATGCCTCAGGGGACACAAGATGAATCGGATAAGGTCCCTGCCCTCCGGGGCATCCCAGCCTAGTGTCTCACACAGGGAGGGATTATCAACAGTTCCCGTGTGTAAGCAGTTTCAAAGGGGTGGAGACAGGCAGCAGGGTGTGGTGAAATTAGTATTCTCAGGGAGGTCAGGCTTCCTGTGGTTTGACTTTGGGAGTGTTCTTTAATCCCCCTGAGCCTCAGTCTCCTAATCTGAATCAAATGGAGATAACATCGCTGTACCACAGTCAATCAAAATCAGACATGAATGTGATGGGCTTGGTATTCCGGAAAGTGCTGTCCAAATGTCCTTTTATGGTTATCGAGTTATTGCTACATCCTCTCTCCTGAGTCCTGTATCATTAGGAGGCAACTCTGGTAGAGTGAGAGTCATAGACTCAGATCTGAGCTGAGCTTCCCCCTTCTTTTCTTCAGGAGAAGAATTGATGGCCCAAAGTGACTGTCCTGCCCTGTGATCTGCCCTTTAGCTGAAGAAACAGCAAAACTGGCATCGACTGCAGCAACTGGGAGCATCAAGTTTTTATTCATTTGTTGATTTGAACAGTATTTCATTCTGATTTTAACTGACTTCTTTTGCATTTGATTAAAAACAATAATAAAACACTGAAATCTTTCAAGAACAAAGAGGAGCTGGCCTATAAATCCTAAATACAGATATAGTGATTGAACCCATCTAGGTAGCTTATGAATATAAAACTCACCTAAAGTATCATCCACCCCTAAGAGATAACCACTGTTAATATTTTGGCAACTATTCTTTGAAACATTTGTGTCTAAATACAAATACCTGTGCGTGTGCAATTTTACTTCACTGTGATCATAGTAGGCCTGCTGTTCTGTAGCCTGTTTTTTTTTTTTTAAATCTTGATAATAGATGATAGAAATCTTTTCACTTAAAAAACAATGTTACATGTGAAGCAAAATTTGCTTAACCACTTTTTTATTTATGCTTTCGATTTGTCACTATTATATGCAATTCTGTAATGAATCTATCTGAGCGTACATGTTTTTACTCTTCTGTAATTATGCTGTGTAAGTAAATTCCTAGAGGTATGATTGCTCGGTCCAAGGGCATACACTCCTAACTTCTTTTTTTAGTGCTGCTGTGGCTTCACCAAAGTTCAAAAAGGGGAAGTGAATGAATGGTAGGAGGAACACTGGGGTCTTGGGGTGACTCCATTTAAAAACTTTGAAAAAGGGAAATAAAAACAAAGCTATCTTCTGAAGATTAAACTTTAAAATCAGCACACAGCAGGCCAAAACAGAGATGTGCAAAACCATGCTGAAGAGATGAGTCATGGTCACTCAAGTGGTGTGTGAGTCTGGTCAGGAAACAGAAGCCCTCCTGGTTTTTCACACTGAGGGGGTCTAATTGAGGAATCAGAAACTGGGTGATGGAAGGACTGGAGGAGCAGTGGCAGTCCGGTAAGGTTATCCGAGCGGTTATCAGGTAAGGTTATTCTAGTGGCTGCAGAAAAGCGCCACCAGCTGCGGACTGGAGGAGCCAAGGGGGAACGTCTCCTTGGAAACCAGAATCGCTGTGATTCCAAGCCATGGCTGTAGAACTGAGCTGCTTCAGCAGGAAGCCAAGAGCAGCACTGCTAGGCCAAAGCCCCTGCCACTGCAGTCACTGCCACTGCCACCCTTGGGTGTCAATAGCAGTGTCATAACTGCCTGAGACCCCACCAGAGGCCAGCAGGGAGGAACCATCCAAGGTTTTGGCAGTGCCTCCTCTTCACAGAACCTCACTGAAAGCCTGTTGGAGGGCGTGTGGGAAATGCAGCGTGTGGAGGCTCACTGTGCTATGCTAGAGCAGAGCAAACAAGGCTGGGAACGCAGCTGACAGTGAGGAGGCAAATGATCAGTGCAAGTAGTACTGCGGGTCAAAGTAGTGGGATAGCTAAAGAGAGCAACTGTTAGAGAAGGGGCATAGCAGCCACGGAGGCAGTGAAGATGGGGCATCACAGAGTGACATGGGCAGTGCTCATGCCAGCAGAGGTGGGCTTGGCTCTTTGGAACTAGCTACAGGGAGAACCCTGTGGTGACCGCCGCCCTTTGGCTCTCAGTCTATGCCATGAGAACATGCTATGGGAGACTGGCCCAGAGAAGTGGCTCTGCTGCAGAGCACAGACAGATGGGGTTTCTGAACCTTCTTGGTGGAGTGCTAGGCCCTAGGCAAGGGCAGGCTAACCAGTGTGCATTGCCATTCTGGGAGACAGGAAGCCAGCCTGCCCATGAGGCAGATAAGTCTTAGTCTTTTTGTGCTACTATAACAAAATACCCAAGACTGGGCAATTTATAAACAACAGAAATTTATTTCCTAACAGTTCTGGGAGCTGGGAAGATGGAGGAGCCTGCATGTTCAGTGTCTGGTAAGGACTTGGTCTCGGCTTCCAAGATGACCCCCCTTGTTTCATCCTCACATGGCAGAAGGTGAAAGGGCACAAGGAAAAACATCTTGCCAATTCCCTCTAGCCCTTTATAAGGGCAGAGCCCTCGTGGCTTAATCACTTCCCAGAAGGCCCCACCTCTTAATACTATCACATGGAGTCTTAGGTTCCAATATATGTATTTTGGAGACACAGACATTCAAACCATAGCCACATATCTCCCAGGGACTGGCACTTGGCCGTCTTCCTTCACCAAAAGGACATCTGCACAAGTATTTATTGGGTTCCTATCAGGTCCCTGCCCTGTGCTATGTGCTTTACATACAGGATCTCATTAATTCCTTGCAGTAACCCTGTGTGCAAGGTTGGGAGGTAGGGCCTATCACTCCCATTTCACTGATCAGGAAACTGAGGCACAAAAAGATCAAGTGACTTGCCCATGGTCATAGAGCTGGTACTGAACAGAGACAGGATCTGTTTGTCTCCAGCGCCCTGGCTATACCACCACCTGGGGCTGCCTCTCCCGTTGGACTTCCTCGTGGTAGTAGGTCAAAGCCCTGGGACTGTTGAGCTGCCTTTGGCTAGTGGGTCTCCCCTGGGTGGCGGCAAAGTTGTTCTCTGGAAGTAATAGGTCTCTGAAAAATGAGAAAATGCTCGGAAACTAGAGCAGAAAGCTGGAAAACAAGGAACCTTACCAATACCCTCATCCCCCATCAGCCACAGCATTAGTGTCATGCGGGGAGGGAGAAAGAAGGGGCTGAAGCAGAGGACGAGGTGCAGGAAAGAGGAGGAGAGAAGCCAGCAGGCTATCCAACTTGATGGCTCTGAAGCACCAATGAGCCCTAGGCCCTTTAAGATCAATGTTATTAATCACGTTCCGTGTACAAGGTGACTTGGCTGTTACTGTATATTATCACCCTTTTCTCTCATCCCCTTAGACCAGCTGACTTCGACAACCAACTCTGCATGAGAACTAGAAAATGTGAGGATTTCTATATGTCTCTGTGGTGACCGTATTAGTATCCCAAGGTCCAAG